GAATCAAGTTAAGAACATTAAGTGCACGAAAAATTGTGTCAATACTGAGGCAGGATGTGAGGTGATGTCTGGCCTGGACACCGTAAGTAGAGATCCTGTGTCATAAGAAACAAAGAGGCAAAGGATGTAGTTCAGTGGTGAAGTGCATACTTGTTTTGGGCTTGACCACCAGTAACGGAAGGAGGAAAAAAGTGCAAAGCTTTGTCAGAGTGTGGGGACCAGATGAGATTAAATAGTATTCATAGCAGTTAAATGAGATTATTGTTCACAATCTTAGGTTATTGTCGTGTTTAGTGCCAGTTGAAGTGGGGCCAAACAGGTGACAAAGTAAGGAGTGCTGGAAATGGGGCCAGAAATTAGCATGGCTCTGGGGGCAGAGGTTCTACTCCTGGCTTAAGTGACAGCCCTCTGCTCAGACCCTCTCCTTCAGCCACCAACCTAAAGTTTACAAGACATCAAAGTCTTACAGGCTTGTACCACAAGGCCCAGTTTATGGGGTACTAACCCTGGGCTACCTGCATGCTAGACAAGCACTCTATCAATTAATTTACCTACATCCCCAGCCCCCATTAGGTTTCATGTAAGCCCATATGTTAAAAAACAAAAAACTTTGGAGAGGCCACATTTTTAGGGTGGAAAATATGATTATTATTGTAACTACAGACCATCAGACTGAATGCAGCCTGTTCTGAAGGTTTGCAAACAGAATCTGGCAACACTTTGGGAAAATACTACTTTAGTTTCTCAAAGACTCAGAGAGCCCTCCGGCTCTTCCAGTGGGCTCAGCCCCAGATATTCTGAGTTCTTTGAAAAATTATGAGTCACAGGTGTTTATATTTTCAAGTATTTTCTTTTGGTCTTTTCAGCATCTGTGTAAATAACTAGTCCTACCAATTAACAAGATTGTTTTAGGGACAATATTTACACTTAATGCACCTTTTCATTTTTCTTGCATCTACTTTCTTCCTCATTCAACCAGATCTTTGAAGTCCTTTCTAAACTTCAGAATTAAAGGGAAAACAAACACTCTATAAAGATGATTCTGTTCCATTTCGGTTGCACTGCCTTGAGAACGAAGGAAGTAAGTCCCTTGCGGGGATCCGTCCTCCCGTCCTGGCGTTTGCCCGCAGGAAGATGGCGGCGTTCTCAATGTCAGTGGCGCTGAGGCAGGCGTTGTTGGGGAGAACGGCAGTGCCTACAGCTGCCGTTTCCTTCAGCAGAGTTCCATCCAGGTAACAGAACTGTCGGTCTCCTCCTTCCAGCTTCTCAGGTCTCCCCACTTCTGCGGAGCCCGGCCGGTCGAGCCCGGAGTTGGCCTTCGGGAGAGCGTCCTCCGCTGACCCTTTCCGTGGATGCGCGGGCGGCGTCGGGGCTGGCGGTGGTCAGGTGCTCTACCCGGCGGGGGGCCCCGGCGGCTTGGTTTCTCTGGACTTTTGGGTCTGAAGGGAGAGGGCCTGTGCCTAGGGCTTGCCGGACCTGGGAGAGGAACCGCAGGCCGAGGAGGGGAGGAGTCACACCAGCTGCCTACAGGCCCGCATCCCTCCGTGTCACCTGTCTGCCCCCTTCTCCCGGCCTGGCTGCAAGGTGAAGTCCTCGCTTCCCTTCCTTGGCTTTAGTTAATGCTGATGAGGTTCGAATGGACAGGTGGTTTCAGTCATCAGTCTGCACAGGAGGAAAACGTTTAAGTTAACGGTGTAGATAGTGATCATTGTACCTGTGCGTGTGTGTGGTGGGAATGGAACTCCCGGCGGAGCGTGCACGCGGCCAGCCAATGTAGCTTTTAAGAGATTGTTCTCAGTACCGGAAGTTTCTCCACCTCCAGTTCTACAAACGTTTCGCAATAGGGATAAAATAGGGATTTTTGTTACTCTATTACCCTGAATAATTTTTGGTGACTTTTATTTTTCCCCCGCCTACATTACTTAATTTTTGATTTCCATATTCATCTGTTCTCCTGAATTTATTTTTAATTAGACACACATTAGCATTTCTAGTCTATGAGAAATCATAGTTTATCACTCCTCTCACAGCTTGCTCCTGTGGGGT